ACATGTAAAGTTCTTTAGAAGATTTTTTAAAATAAATTAAATACCATTTCTCTATAAATATACTTTGCATTAAGCTTTCCTGTTAGAGTTTTCAGGAAACATTTTAAATAAAGTAGCTGAGCATATATCCCGTTTGAGATGAATGAGATCATTAGGAAACACTTATATCTGAAATAAGCACTGAGATCATTCTGCATAGAACCCAAGGCCCCTAATTTTTAAAATATTTCAAACAATGTGCTCCTTTTAAATCATTAGACTTAGAGACATTTAAGGAACTGATTCAATTAACCCGGAAGAGAGAAATGCTATAATGTGTGATTTATTTTTGCAGATAAATTAAAATGCGAGTATATCTGTTAGAAAAGGTAGGCTGTCATCATGGTTAGTAATGGGAACAGGAAGGCAATTAAGCAGGGCCACCTGAGGCTGCGATAGCCCCTGAATGTGGAAGCTCGAAGTTCAAGCTGGACATTGTTATTGTCAAAACCAAAAGTGTTCCTTGGTTGGGAGGAATCTTTGTGCTCCATTTGGTTTCCTTCACTGATTTTGTAAAGCATGTTTCTCAATTTGTTCCTGCATAACTGCAAAAAAAAAAAAAAAAATCCTAAATTGCTCTGGTTTCATACCTTAAAAAAAAAAAAAATCAAACCTCACATAAGGCAAATACCTTAAAATTACAACTTTGCATTCTATTATTTAGGTGAGGAAATATGAGTCAAGAATTTATTTTTCTCCTCTACAACTCCAGGATATTGGCTCCACCAGGCCTAATAAATTGTTTTCACAAGGAAATAGATCATGCTGTAGCCTGTGTTCCGTTGTGCAAGGGGTTTTATAAACAACATGTATCCTAAACAATAAATAATTACAGATGGGAGAGGGTGGGAGAAGGAAACATTATAAGGGTGGGAAAAAATGTTTCTTAACCAAATCATGGAAAAGACTGAAATTCAAAATGCTAGATATCAAAAGGTAGTGGTGGGGAAGATCGCCACTTTAACCATTGTGAAATCCAAAGAGAAAATGAGAAAATAAGAAGATAGTGAAGGAAAGAGAAGAAAAGGGAAGACTAAGAATGTGAGAAGAGAGGTTAAAGCAGCCTTACAAGAGAGTTAAAGCAGAGTAAGTCCTATGAACAGAAACAAAGAAAACGTATGCTGAAAAAGTAATTATAATTCACTGTTCTTTTCTGCTGAATCTTGTCCCCCATCTTGAATTGGATAAAAATGCACTAGACCTTTTGGAACTGTTTATGAGGAAAAGCTTAGAGATCCCTTTCCTGCCTGGAGAAGAGGGATCTCTTTTTTATTTTTTTAAATTTATTTTTAAAAATTTACATCCAAATTAGTGCAACAATGATTTCAGGAGTAGATTCCTTAATGCCCTTGCCCATTTAGCCCTTCCACCCTCCCACACCCCCTCCAGTAACCCTCTGTTTGTTCCCATATTTAAGAGTCTCTTCTGTTTTGTCCCCCTCCCTGTTTTTATATTATTTTTGTTTCCCTTCCTTCATGTTCATCTGTTTTGTCTCTTAAAGTCCTCATATGAGTGAAGTCATATGATATTTGTCTTTCTTTGACTAATTTCACTGAGCATAATACCCTCCAGTTCCAGCCACACAGTTGCAAATGGCAAGATTTCATTCTTTTTGATTGCCAAGTAATACTCCATTGTATATATATACCACATCTTCTTTATCCACTCATCCACCGATGGACATTTGGGTTCTTTCCATATTTTAGCTATTGTTGCTAGTGCTGCTATAAACATGGGAGTGCATGTGTCCCTTCAAAACAGCACACCTGTATCCCGTGGCTAAATGCCTAGTAGTGCAATTGCTGGGTCGTAGGGTAGTTTTATTTTTAGTTTTTTGAGGAGCCTCCATACTGTTTTCCAGAGTGGCTGCACCAGCTTGCATTCCCACCAACAACGCAAAAGAGATCCTCTTTCTCTGCATCCTCACCAACATCTGTTGTTGTTTCCTGAGTTGTTAATGTTAGCCATTCTGACAGTTGTAAGGTGATATCTCATTGTGGTTTTGATATGTATTTCCAGGAAGAGGGATCTATTTACTTGCTCTACCTCACTGTGTAATGAATGCTAATACTTCCATCATACTGTTTCTTCCCTGGGAGAGCTTTTCCAGCCACAGTGCTAGAACTAGAGTCCACAAGCAAGAGATGCCTCAGGGATGAACAAGTCTGTCTCATGCTTTGAGAAGAATATACCTCAACTATTTCTACTTTGTGAGTCTTTCCTGACAGTATTCATTTATCTGTTTAAATTATAGATTCCCCTTTTCTCATGCTCAACATCTTTTGAGGTTTTTTTAAATGTGTATTTGTTTTTGAGAGAGAGAGAGAGAGAGAGAGAGAGGGAGAGAGAGAGAGAGAGAGCACTCGAGCAGGTGAGAGGCAGAGAGAGGGAGACACAGTATCCAAAGTAGGCTCCAGGCTCTGAGCTGTCAGCACAGAGCCTGATGCAGGGCTCGAACCCACGAACCTCAAGATCATGACCTGAGCCAAAGACGGACACTTAACTGACTGAGCCACCCACGTGCCCCTCTTTTGATGGTTTCTTAGCATCTCAAGAATTAAGGTCCTTACAACCTGGAGTCAACTGCCTTGCCAGCCTCATCTGCTGCTGCTCCAGCCACATTGATGCCTCTCTCTCCACCTCCCACCAAAGCATTCTCCAATTTTTATGCCTTTGCTCTTGTGGACCCTCCTACCTATTCTGTACTCTCCTCCCCTGTGGAAGGAAGCTCCACCTCATTTATTTATTTATTTATTTATTTATTTATTTATTTATTTATGAGAGAGAGAGAGAGAGAGAGAGAGAGAGAGAATGAGTAGGGGAGGGACAGACAGAGAAGGAGAGAGAGAATCCCAAGCAGGCTCCGTGCTGTCAGCACAGAGCCCAAAGTGGGCCTTGAACTTTCAAACAGTGACATCATGACCTGAACCGAAATCAAGAGTGGGATGCTCAACTGACTGAGCCAGCCAGGCGCTCTCCACCTCTTCCTTTAAGGCCCAGCTCCAAGGTCAGCATTCCCAGAGAGCTGACCTCTTCCTTAGTAGAGTCCCAGATCATACGGTTGTAACTTTTTCCCACAGTCCCTCATAGTGATCTACCTCCCTGTGGGGAAGGGTTCCTGCCCACTGATGGCAAAGGCTATCCATTTTGTTTGTAACCCAAACTCTAGTAAGGCACCTTGCAAAACATGTTTGCAGAATTGTTCCACAAGCACCATTGATTCCCCTTGCTACTATCTTCTCCCCCTCTCCCCAACTAACTCCTGGACTTCGTTTATTTATTTATGTATGTATGTATTTATTTATTTCCTCAATTGTATCTCCAACTCTCCAAGCCTTAAAAAAAAAAAAAAAACTATAGCTCATGAAGATACACTGTCAACTAAAATACAATTTTTGGCCATAGCGATCCTCTGTGAATTGAGATCTACCTATTGCTTAGGCTGAGGTAATTCACTCACGTAAACTTGGGTAGATACTTTGGGTTCTGAGAGGCTGGAATTTATTTCTATAGTCCTAATACTAACGTGAAATATTTTTGTCTATTTTCTACTGTTGGTTAGCATTCAGGCACTGAGTGTTAGGCACTTTTAATTAGGAAAAGTATCCAAGGGGAAATTTCTTCAGGCTGACCCTTAACAGCCAAAGAAATGAGGTTCTAGGGGCTTTGAAAATGGCATTTAAGATAAGAATCAGTAGGCCCCTGTCAAGCTTGCACTGGGAGCGAGGAGCAGACATGACCTGTAAAGGTCTTTTTATCTGAAGCCCAGATTTGGCCCACGTAGCCCAAAGCCCATACTGGGATCGAATCTCTGGATTCTTGACGTACACCTATATGCTGACCTCTAGGATCCCACAAACTAAAAGAAGGCCTGTTGGAGTTAGGTAAACATCTACATTAAAGGGGTATAAATACAGAAGCTCAAACCCAAAGGGGCAGTAAAGCGAGGAACCCAATGTCTGGAGGGACATTGACCTGTTGGCGAGAAAAACAGAAAAACAAAACAAGTATATCCTTGAGTTATTTGGGGGCGAGGAGAACGAGGGCTAGAAGGGGGCATCCGAGAAGAAAGACAGAGGGGGCCAAGGAAACACGCCAACTCCCTCAGAGGACCGACGCCCTCATCCTGGGGCGCAGCGCGGACCGCCCGGGGCCGTCCCGGCCGGCAGAGGGCAGCAGCTGGGCGGAAAAAGCTGGGCGAGGGCCGCGCGGAGTCGACTGCCTGGCGGGGATACTTAATTTTAAGTGTGGGGCGAGGAACTCGCACTCATCACTGCCTGACCAGGACCCTGCGGCCGCGGTGCACCTCCGGCTCCGTTGAGGGGAGTGGGTGTGTGCTAGGCCGCCTGACCGAAGAAAGAGAGCGGAGGGCGCCCCCGGGGTCTCCGGGAGAGAAGGGCCCCGGGACGCGAGAGGGAGGGCCCCCTGACGCACCCCCTCCTCTGCCGAGCCCGCTTGGCGCCCCAAGAGCCGCCCTTTGAGCTGCGAGAGCTAACTCCAACGCACCGCGTCAGCCCCCGCCGGTGCGGCTTCTGGGGTTACGACCCACGCCCGACATCCGCTAAGGTGCGCCTCCCACCGCCGCCACCCGGACGGGAGGCCGGTCCCGCTCTCGGAGCCCCGAGCGGCCGCAGCGCGGTTCGGGCTCTGGCCGTCGAGGCCGGCGGTGGTGGCGGCTTGGGCCTGTCCCCGCGGCCGAGGTAGTCGCCAGGCGCACTTGACCGTGGGCGCGGAGCGAACGGATCGCGCAACGCGGGCGGCGGGCTTTATGTAAATCGGGGCTGCGCCCGGGCGTCCTAGGTAGGATGGACCAGCCCCCCGCGCCTCGGCCCTCACGTCCAATAAGAAGAGCCCCAGCTTGACACCTGCCTATATACAGGCGAGCGCGCCCCCGGCCCGCCGACCGCGCGCACAGCCCGCACAGCCCACGCCGCGGGCGAGCGAGACCTCGGCCCGCCACCATGACTTCCAGTAAGATCGAGATGCCGGGCGAAGTGAAGGCCGACCCCGCCGCCCTCATGGCGTCCCTGCACCTCTTGCCGTCGCCCACGCCCAACCTCGAAATCAAGTACACCAAGGTAAGCGCCCGGCGAGGACCTGCCGTCCACCGAGGCTTTCTAGAACCTTCCTTCGTGTCCCTGATCTGTTAGGGGAGTAGGGCGGCGTGACGGGGTCAGGGGCCGGGGCGTCCGGGGCCAGCCTCTCATCCCTGCGCAGCAGAGGGACGCCCCGTCCTCGGGATTAGGGCTTCCGAAGGCCTGTCGGGGACTCGGAAAGCCTCGGGGACTCGCCCCAACCTGAACGCGGCGCTGGGGGTCGCGGTCAACGGCTCTTCACCCACGCCGCGTCTGCCGCTGCCTCCTGATCCGATTCTCGGGGTCCGGACTGTCGCGGGGGAGGCGTCGGCACCGCTTCGACTCATGGGGGTTAGAAGGGTTCCCGCCAGGTGGGCCACGCAACCCGGCCGCTTTTCCCAGCGGCCCTTCGCCTTCAGGGGCCGCTGGGCTGCTAGTCCCCGCTCGGTCCTCGGAAGCCCGCGGTGCGGAGCGGCTTTTCGGGAGGGGCCGACAGGGCGCGCGAAGCTCGGGCCGCCCTTAACGCATCGCGCCGAAACCTGGACGCTGCCTCCCGGCGCCTCCGGCTTGGGCATTTCGTTCGGCATTTGTAGGCAGTGGCAGTTCTGCTGGAGAACTCAGAAACTCTCGAAATTGGTGTGCATTAACGGGCTCGCTCTCGGACTGAAAAGAAATCACTTTTTATAACGAACTCTGACATTTTGGGTTTGCCAAGCAGGATTTGTTGCTGGGCCATATAAAAAAGGATACGCATGCGCTACCTTCATTAATGGGAATTGAATTCACTTTCTACGAATTCCACATGGAAAAAAATATATTGATTAGATACACGGGGTGATTATAAAGTTATAACATGGTGGGGGGAGAAAGATGGGATTTAATGTCATGTTCCTTGGAGCTCATTTTACAGTTCTCTTGTTTTTCTATTACTTTCAATTGATTTCTACCCCAAATTGTTCCCGATAAACCAAAGCGCGTTTCCCAGACACACAATACGGTTAAAGTTGTTTTCCATCATTCTTACTACAGGATAAACTAAATTTGTTGAGAAGTGTATTGTTTAGTTCTGGCTTAATGGTTGAAAGAGAAATTTTTTAAATATCCGAATTTTGAAATTTTACTTGCATTGAGTTTTAGGATGCAAATCAAGGTGATTCGTGTTCTAAGTGCCCGATTCATGATGGATTTGATGTACCTGTTAGCTTTTTTAGATGGTGTGACAAATTTTTGAAAGCCATTTTAATGGGAGGTCGTTAGTGGTTACAGCCATTTAGGCATTGTTTGCATAACAATAGTGCCAGTGCGTGGCACATCTCTGGGTTTGGGAACGAGCAGGGAAATACACAGCATAAACGCTTTGTTTTATGAGGGTCGCTAACCTCTCCAGCCCCTCTTTAAAGATCTTAAGATTCAGGATCTCCCTGTGAGACGGGACCCTACTCTCATACTTTGGAAGGTTCGATTTTAGTCTTAGCTTTTCATTGGGATTTTCCTCACAGCCCCGGAAAGGAGTTTTAGGTATGCAGTAGGTATTTCGGAATTTAATTTGGAAGCTCTTCCAGTTCTCTTTTTTCTCCAGCTACCCCCGCTCCCTTTTTCTCTTGTTCTCCCCCAGTAGGAAAGACAACTGATTTATAGCTAAATGAAGCCTTTAATGTGGAGTCTTTTAGCTCGGAGGAGACTTTTATCCAGTATCCACTTTCCCACTTACTGCAAAGAAAAACAATCAGAAATGAAATAATGGATCGAAACTTGACTCTTTTAATTTGTGGGGAGGAGGCGCCTTATTTTTGGCTTGACAAACAACCCTCATAAACACTGAGTAATGCTAATCTAAAGGCAAGCTCTTTTCACAAAACCTTGTTAAATCAGGTATCTGTGAAGATTCCCAGCAGCTTACTCCCCACCCCCCAGCTTTTTAGTGAGACTTCTAAATTTTCTGACACAAGCCTCTTTGGTGAGCAGCTTTTTTAATGTGAAGAGCAGAATCTGCTCTTTTGGTAGCTGAGGCTAATGGTTTTTTTACCTAAAAGGAAAAATAAGATCCATGGAAAGGTTTTTAAAAACTCACTTATGATCAGAAGTGAGGGATATTATCTTGGTAATTTCAAGCAGAAGAATGAACAAGGTAGAATGACAGTTCGTCCTTTAGAACAGTAGTACCACATTCATGAGAGGGATTTTTGAAAGAGTAATGGTTAAAGAACTACTATGCTGGAGGGCTTGTTGAAGAACACATAGGAAACAAATCCCATGTTTGTGTCACAAAGCCGTGCAGGATACACAAGATGGATCCTTCATCATTTTTGTCTTGTTGAACGAATGCATCTTTAAGGGTATCACGATAAGATTTGTAAATGTGATTTGGGGACCAACATAAAGCCACTGCCTACGTGTAAATGTCAGATTATGAGAATTTCAAGTTGCATGCATTTAGAAAACTTTGCATTTATGATCTTGCATTTAAGATCTATGATCTTATGTATTTTTCATTTTTTATGAAGGGGGAAGTGGGGGAGATTATTAGAAATAAAACTTACATCTTTGTCAAAGGTCCAGTGAAAATACTCCAGAATTACAGTTCAGTCCCCATAGATACTGAAAGGGCTTAACTTGTGCTCTTGTAGTGATTTTACATTTAGTTCTTAAAATAAGCCTACCTGTCTGAAGTTCCAGTACCCGATTTAGACTAATGATCAGTGGCAATACCATCATTGGTATAGATCTAGTTTTATTTCCTTAATGCAGCAATCTAGATCCCAGGTTTTAAAAATGATTCCTTATTAAGGAATATGGGGTGTTGTTGTTGTTGTTGTTGTTGTTGTTGTTTTAAAGAAAAGACTGCATTAGTCAAGAAAGCGTTAAGTTTACCAACAAGAAGTAGCGAGGTGACCACTTTAAGGCCAAGACAGCGTATACTCTCCTGCTCGGATCCTCAGAAGACTGCTTACCAGCTATTGCAGGAATCTGATTGGTTTTAGGTGTGTTTCTATGAATTAAAACTTTTCTGAGTTGTTTCTGTTTCATCAGTCTGGTTTTTCAAACTTTGTATGGCTGAATATATTATCAGAGTTCACACGTTGTAAAATTAAGGCTAGCACTTTACCGACTGCCATTAACTGCAGGGGAAATTTCTTCCAGATTCCCAGAAGGTCTTTGGAGTCTTTCTGTCTTTATCCCACCCCTACCTTGTCTGTTGTCTCTGTCGTCTCTTCTGTCTTTACTAGTTTCTTTCTACTGCCACATCCCCATTATACACACGTGCACACACGCAGAGGCATTGTGCTGTCTCTGTGTTGAGCATTTTTTCAGTGACAGTTTATGCCTATAATTGACAGTAACATAAAGGGTTGTGTTTTCTTCCAGCATCTGATTCTGTGAGGAGCTAGAACAGAGGGAAGAAAGGAACATTAATGGAGTACTAACCTTCTAAACTACTAAACTAGAAGAGAAAAAATAAAAGACAATTGAAAATCAGAGCAAATGTGCATTGGGTAACTTCTACTTATTTATTTGTTTATTTAAAATCTTATTATTGAACATTTTCTATTTTCTGCTGTCAATTTCAATTCTGTCCAAAGGATGTTTGGGTGACCACTGAGTGTTGTTAGTATTCCTAACAACAGTGTTCCCTGTTAAGCTAATTGGGCATCTCCCTTCCAGGAGCTTAGGATCTTATTAGAAAGATTGATCGCCAAAAATTGTCAGCATGGCAGTAGTTCAGTTGATCAATGTAGTAACAAATAATGATAAAAAATACATAATGCCACTTACATTGGTTATAGGGTCTAATAGTTTACCTAGCACTTTACTGTGTACCATATCTGATCCTTGCAAAACCTTTTGAAGGAGAGCGAATAGGAAGAAGTAGAAATACTTGATAAGAAAGACCTTGGCCTTGACTTTTAAAAAACTGATGGATCTTTCCTGACCATAATACACTTTGCTTTTCCTAACAGTAACATACTTTTTTTTTTTTTTTTTGAGAGAGAGAGAGAGAGTTTACATCTTTATTTTTTTGTGTGTTCTTTCTGTTGCAAACATGGGGAGAATATGTGCTGGTCTACTCTTCTTAGGAAGAAGCTACATCATGTGGCTTTTGATTCCCTGACTTTAAATTAACTACTTTTTATGTTCTACTTTTTTTTTAAATCAGATTCTTGCCTATTTCAGAGAGTGTTTTTTTTTTTTTTTTTTTTTAATGAGAGAGAGCACGCAAGCACTCAAGCGGGGCAGGGGCAGAGAGAAACTGGGAGACAGAATCTGAAGCAGGCTCCAGGCTCTGAGCTGACAGCTCAGATTTGAGGCTCGAACCTATGAACTGTGAGATCGTGACCTGAGCCATTGGATGCTTGACAACTGAGCCACCCAGGTGCCTTGCAGAGATTATTTCTTAAAACATGGTGTGGGTCTAATTGTTTCCAAATCTCTAATCAAGATTGTTTTTATCATAAATTATGAATAACACCTCATGTTTATAGGAACCTCAGATTTGCAAAAGAACTGTATTGCTAAACAACTTTATTGTAGGGCTTGAAATAGATAATTCTCTTGGAGTCCTGCCCTGATGCCTTCTGTACAGGATTCTGCTACCATATGGAATCATCATTTGCTGAGGCAATTCTGTCATCTATTTCTATCAAATGAGGAATAATAGATTTTCTATTTGAGGGTAGAAGATACTCTGAGAAGCCTGTTCTGTGTGTGAGGTCTGATTTCCTTGCAGCAAGGCTTAAGAGAAGCCAGGCATGCATAATATAAGTTCTCTGTTGCATTACACAAGCACAGTGATCAAATACATCTCAAATATGAGCAGACCAAAAACATGTCAAATACCAACATATGCACTTCTGTCTCTAGTCTTTCGCAGTCGGATAATGAAATAGAAATACTGGTGTATATTTTTGTCTGCTTTAATTAGCTCAGTGACAGCTTGTGGTAGTCAACAAACTACAGACTATCTGCGTGATGTTGTAAATAAAACTTTATTGGAACACAGACAC